GGGAGACTCGTGCCCATGTTGTGTGAACAACTCTGCACGAGCACCTAAGGAGGCTTACCTCCTTACCAGCCCGTGGTGGCGCGTACGTGTCTCTACTGAGATGTACGAAGGGATTGACAACCTGAAATCCCTTTACGACCGTGCCGGGAAGACTTTCTCCGGCGGTCCTTCTGCGGCACAGGATGTGTCGCGTCGTACTGCTCGACCAGACCCAGTACGTCAACCATCAATTGGGAGCGGGGCTCCCAAGAATCCCAGGACGGGGGATAGCCGCGCCACCGGACGAGATAACTCGTCCGACGTCCGTTCACGTCGCGGTGGTTCAACAGCTGCTCTACTAGATAGCGCTGGCCACCGCGAGAGTCCTCTAATGGAGGTGGAGGAGGAGGAAAGACGCTCTCCACACGATCATGTGGATCGGTGTGTTCCCGAGAGCTTCTTTGATCGCGTAACGCAAGGGTTACGCGACGATCTCGAGCATGAGCGGAATAGGCGTCTCCAGATGGTGGACACTGCCTCGAAGCATCGAGCTGAGTTTGCCTTTGCTCAGCTTGAGAACGAGAGATCTCTGACATCTCTTCGTGACGAGCTAAGGGTAGCTCGTGGGATTGTTGATCGGTCTCGGGCTGAGATAACTGCTCTTCAGACCCTTGTTGATGCCCACCATCGGGAGCACAAGGCTCTCTGCGAGATGCTTGAGCGCAAGGGCGTTCTTCATCGGAAGAAGCAGCGTACTGATGGTACGGCTTAAGCCGACCAACGTAAAACGTGGGATGCGTTCGCATCTTACGTGGTAACTCGATCGTGTATGCATTGCCTAGGCGGTGCAATACACGAAATGGACCAATGTACTTGGGTAGTAGTTTACTGCTACCCAAGTTAGTCACTACATGTTTTGGTAGATTAACCGTAGACAGTAGGACTAAGTCACCTTTATTAAATAAAGAGTGTTTGCCCTTCCATTCTTGTCAGCGTTTTGCTTTTGCTTATCCACCGCTTCGGCGATGGAGTCTTGCACAAAACGGACTACCGTTTCACGAGCCAGTATGAACTCATCTGATGACTCGTTAGCTTCAGTGTGCTGTGAGCGCACTGCAGCGACAACAACCTTTTCTTCAGTGAGGGCTTCCGCACTCTCACTGGGATCATTGTCTTCAGTGAGGGCTTCCGCACTCTCACTGGCATCATCTTCTTCGATATCGATGTTATCGATATCGGCATCAAACGCAATGACTTCTTCGTCAGAGCGTGATGAGCGTGAACCAAATCGGTTTTTGCTCGCGCGAGTCCCTCCCCCCTTAAACCAGAGTTACACTCTAGTAAGGTGGGTACGCGGATGGCGCAAGCCATTCACGTAAAACGGTGTATGTGTCGTGGACGCATGCACCGAGTTGTTGATGGCAAACTCTACCATCGGCAAAAACTCACTCCAACTCTTAAAGGAGTGTACGTATCCTCGAAGTATCTCTTCAAGGACACGATTGGCACGTTCCGTCTGACCATCTGACTCTGGATGATCAGATGTTGACATCTTCAAGCGCGTTCCGAGTGATTTGAACACGGAACGCCAGAAATCAGCAGTGAATCGTGGATCTCTGTCTGATACGAGTTCACGGGGCAACCCATGAAGTCGGAAGATGGTGTCAATAAAGACACAAGCACAGCCACTTGCCGTGATTGTCTCTGGTACAGCCACAAGGTGTACCATTTTGCTGAATCTGTCAACAAATACGAGAATACCCGTATTCCCGCGTGCGTCTTTGGGTAACCCGAAGACGAAATCCATTGAGATGGATTCCCAGCACTCAGCCGGAACCGGTAGAGGCTGTAAAGGTGCACGCAGTGAAGGACTTGACTTCACTCGTTGGCAGACTTCGCATGCGAGAACATACTTTCGCACAAACTGATACTGGCGGGGCCAGTAAAAGTCTCGACTCACCGTGAGATATGTTTTCTCCCGGCCACGATGTCCTCCTATAGGAGCATCGTGATACTCGAACATGATCCGCAAACGCAGATCAGTATCATCCGGGATGACAACACGTGGTGTGTCACCAGTAGCGGCTGTATAATACAGTAAACCGTTGCGAGTAGTGTATCGATCTGATGCAGGTCGATGCGCAGACGATAATCGTTTCAACGATTCTCGAGATGGTTGTGAGAGATGTGTCAACAACTTCACAATCTCACCATCTTGGGGGTATGCCCGCCTCGCATCATCATGTAACGTTGTAGATGAGACTGAGGACGTCACAACCGCAACAGTGGATGTCTCACTGTTGGGTTTCACGACTGGTTCAAAGTCGGGACGACGTGAGAGTGCATCAGCGACGACACTAAGTCGTCCTGGTTTGTACTCGACCGTAAAGTTGTATTCTGCAAAGAATGACAACCAACGCGCCATTCGTTGTGAAAGGTGCGGGCTGTTCACTGCCGTGCGTAATGACGCATGGTCAGTGTAAACAATGAAGGGTCTATCTCCTAATAGATAGACTCTGAACTTCGCGAGTGCATACTTCATGGCAAGGAGTTCCTTGTCATGCACTGGATAGTTCCGCTCAGCTGGTTGCAGCTGACGCGACTGATAGCAGACGACGCGTTCAACGCCTTCAAGATCGTACTGCATTAATGCACAGCCGATTGCGAAATCGCTGGCATCACAGACCACATGAAATGGCCTGTCCTGATCGGCTATTGCTAGGACTGAGGATTTTATCAAGCTCTGCTTGATACCAATAAAGAAGCGCCGACATTCAGCGTTCTATACCCACCTCTCGTTCTTTTTCAACAAACGAGAGAGGTGTACAGTCATCTCGGCGTAATTGCGTGAATACTTGTGCAAATACGCCGCTAGCCCAAGGAATTTTCGAAGACCTTTGACATCAACTGGCATAGGCCAGTCGGTGATCGCCTTGATCTTTTCGGGATCAGGACGTACTCCGTTCTTACCAACGATGCACCCAAGAAGTGGTACTTCGCTTGCTGCAATATACACTTCTTGAGGTTTGCGAAAAACTTATGCTCTCGCATTGAAGTAAGAACCTTGCGGACGTGGATTCTATGAACCTCCACGTCTGTCTTTCCATCCATAGCCCGGCTATGGACGAAGACATCGTCGAAGTAACTCGGTGCGAAATCGCGCACCGATCGCAACATATTTGTAACACATCTGTTGAACGTTGCAGGGGTGTTACTTAGCCCCTGTGGCATTACTAGCCATTCCCAGAGCATGCCGCTAGGTGTGCTAACTGCGGTATAGGGTATATCCCGTTCTCGAATAAGGATTTGATAGAAGCCATCCATCAAATCCATGGACGAAAAGATGGTACTCTTTGACATACCTTCTATGATGACATCCATTCTTGGGATCGGCGTGTGATCCGGTACCGTTGCAGCATTCAACTTGTTAAATGCATGCATTATCCGCCACCCTCCTGTTGCTTTTCGCACACAGAAGGTCGGAGAGCTATGTGGGGAAGTTGATTCCCTCACATGGCCCGCTGCTAAACGATCGGCAAAGAACTTGTCGATCGCAAGTACTTGTTCACGAGGCAGTGGCCACTGCTTCATGACACAGTACTTCGAGCCTGGTTTAAGCTCGACTTCGTGTCGAATACCTTTATCCTTCGGTAATTCGCACGGAACAGTTTCAGGGAATACATCCTTGAATTCAACCAAATCTTCATAGAGAGGATTTTCCTTGAGCGATTCCCATGATTGGGACTCATATCGCTCAATTCGTGTCTTTTCATCTAGGGCACTCTCGTCCATAGATGAACTACTGAGAACTCTCTCGTTCTCAGTAAACACTGTTGCTGACCTTATGTCGGTTACATACTCGTCTTCAGCGACGAGTATGCAGATCTGCTTGACTTTGCCACTACGCAGATCACGCAAGAATCTTTTATGTTCGAGCGTTGGCAACTGAGTGATCTCCGAAGTTAACTTCGGAGGCGCAATCAGATCAAGTGTATAAGCGCCTACACATGACCCGTTATTGACTATGACATTCAATGTCTCTGTCATTTCCTGGGGACTTATTCCCTCAGGCTTCGAAGGACTTATTCCTTCGTCTTCCCGAGGACTTATTCCCGCGGGTTTCGGGGAACTTATTTCCGCCGTATTTGTAATCTTGGGACTTATTCCCTTTACTTCCTCTAGCTGGGGTTGCGCAACCACAGCGAGATCCTCTACGAAAGACTCTCCAGTCGATCTAGGATTATCGTTTCGCTTAACCTGAGCGATCGATTGTTTCTCTTCTAGATGTTCCCCTCTAGGGATACATCTTTGTCCCAGTCCACCCGACGCATTCGAGTGGTGGACCTTCGGCGCAGCCTGTGTTTCCTCACAGCCGCCGGAACTTTGCTCCGAAGTGTAACCGTTTGGTACACTAAGGTTTTGTGCAGTCGTACTAACGACCGTACCACAAGTGAGGCCATCGCACTCACTCGTAGTACATCCACACGCTTGTGGACGCTCCAAAACGTTCATCAGATGGCCATCTGATGAACAAGCGGCAGGCATCGTTACTGTCCGATGTTGCCAGTTTACCCGTGGTTCGTACCTTCTGAGCCACGGTATTCCAAGGATGATATCAAATTTGTCATCCAAATCCAATACGATAAAGTCATCGTCGTATTGGGTATCTTCTAGCGTATAGTGAATCTTCACTATACGCTTCATGACGGTTACGGATGCGCCTGTCGCAAGACGTACCGTCATCCTCGTAGGAGGTGTGTCACATTCACTGAATTTAAAGTGACCATCTTCTAGCGATTGGCGTCGCACAAAATTGTTGGACGCCCCACAATCGACTAGAGCTCGAAGGGACAACTTATTCGTCACTTCGAGTTTCAAGGTAATGAGTGAGATCTCATTACCTAGAGCAGCAACGCACAATGTCTGTGTGTTGGGAGCAACCTTCATCAAGAGGCCTACAAATTCTCTTGACGTTGCTGGATCAGTAGGGTGCTCCGCACCTACTGATCCTGTCCGTTTTTTTACGGTCCATCCCGTTGTTGCGTCTTTGCACCAACTGCGGACCCTCGTCCCTGCCCCTTTCTCATGGGTGGACGGTCACTACGCCCAGTGTCGCGATACACTGGACGAGGGGCACTACACTCGTAAGCGTAGTGTCCTGTCTTTTGACATCTGTTGCATCTCTGCAACTTCTTGTAGCCTGTAGAGCGAGCCTTCTCGCTCTCTACATAACAGAGTTCCATCGGCTCTGGACCTCCGTTGTCATATCGTCTCGGTTGACGATATGATGTCGAGCTGGCGCGAGCCTGTCTCAGACTGAAGTCTTCCTGCTCCGCAATGGAAATGGCTTGTTCTAGTGAATCTAGTTCAAGCCGGAACAGGTGAGTCTTGACGGGACCATCCGCAAGACCCTGCATGAACACCGAAACCAACGTGTGTTCATCCACCGGATTGGAACTTATACAACTCGTGAGATGTCGTATATGTTGAGCGTAAGCGTGCACATCACGCTTACCCTGCTTGAGCTTCAAGAGTTCGGTTCGAGCTCTGAACTCAGCTCTAGGCGGTTCAAACGTTTGTCTGAGCCGCGACTTGAAGACTTCCAACGACCCAAACGCATATGGGTCGTGCAGCTTGAGCCCCAGTGCCCAAGTCTTGGCACGTCCTGCCAGATTTGACTGGGCAAATGCAACTTGCATATCCCCGTCGTCGATGCGACGCGCCCTTATGGCGTCATCCAATTCGACGAACCATCTCAAGAGGGAGTCTTCTTCGACCCCCTATACTTGGAGATGTCAATCTTCAAAGTCTCGGGCCGACGCGAGTGCATCGACCCACCAGCAGCAGCCTGCTGCTGTCTCAACAGTTCAAACTGTTGAGCACCTTGTTCTCTCAACAACTCTGCTTGTTGAGAACCTTGTTGGTGAAGCAAGGCTACTTTCTCGCGTTCTGCGTCAAGTTCATTTTGAATGAACTTGGCGATAGTAGCATGTTGGGCATCTCTATTGAGAGCCTCTAGCATGACGCTAACAGCATGGATGCCCATGGTCGAACCCATTCGTTCAACCGCATCCCATTCGACATCGCTCAAATGGGAGTAGCCGTCACGCGTAGCGTGAAAGCTTTGGTCATCTTCATCATCCAACATATTCATGTTGGATGTGAACGCGGTCCTTGGACGGACTACGAAGTGCTACCAGGTGTAACGGGGCACCCTGAAGCTTGTACTGGTGACAGTACAAGCTACTTATTCTGATAACAGAATAAGGCGGTGCCTCGTAACTTCACGTACACTCGTACGTGCAGAGGAAGACGGTAAGAAGAAGCGAGTACTTGGTTAGAGTAAAAGTAGAACTGTATTTATAATAGAAGTATCTGCAATAAATCACTATTTATCTTCATCTAAAATATGTATGGAATACAAGATGTTGATAAATCAGTTATCTGCTCACCACTCATTGCGTGAGCGTCTGTCGAGTGGCGCGTTTTCGTTGATTGACTATAATGGCCTATATCAACCAATTAGGAACTACTTGGAAGTGCTACAGAATATTGTCCTTATGACAGATAATCTTTAAATATAACTCTTATAGTTATGATTCAATTAACAATTTCCTCTGCACGTACTAGTGTACGTATAGTTTTGTGGTACCCCGAACAAAGGGTGCCCGTTACACCCTTGGTAATATGGTAGAGAAGCGTGGCCATAGATTCTATATTGATTAAGAATACCTATTTGTCGGTATTATCTGAGTTATGGTACTTACCGTGGAAGTGCTTTGTACCGTAATCATTTAATGACTGAGTGGTGTGCCAACCATCCATTTTGTTCAAAACTAATGTTTTTTTTAGCTTTAGTTTAGTATAACAAGGGGTACTTCAAAAAGTATTTCCTTGGTATAAAATTTAAATAAGTTCAGTTCTCATTTTGCGCAGAAGTAGTAGACTTCCACCCTCTCGCACATTGCGCTTGGCTGTTCCTTAGAACTGTCGTGGGCTAAAGAGTCCTTAGACTCCTGCATTCTTCTTTGCACATTGTGCGTGTAGTTCCTTAGAACTAAAGTTGTCTGAGCTAATAGCTCATAGAGTCCGCTTTAAGTTCCGTAGAAATATCCTACTTTTTAACTTGATCTATTAGTACCTAAGAGCTAATTGTCTGTTAGCCGTCAGACTCTGGATTTACCCGTAAAGTCTTCCTTAAATTTTAGAGCTTTGGTAGCTCCGCTACATGAGCACCGAGTGAATATCCTGCTTGTGTAAAGTTATCCAGCATAATGATCAGAATGCTCTGCAACTTGACCGTTCGTTAATGGTTCTTATATAAACGCGGCCCTCTGTCACTGTACTCATATTCTCTTTATCTACTAGCTTCTGTGGGCATTAGAGTTTGTCATGGTTGGATTTGCCACACAGATGCATTTAAGGCGACTTTTTGTAGCTACTCAAATTTAAACGGATTTCGCTTGGATGACGATTTTTACTTGTTTTTCTTCCCTACAGGTCTGTCCTTCGTTTTGAACACATTGGGATCACCGAGTGACGGCATCTAACCATCCAAGAACTTGTTAATTACAGCGCTAGCGATCTCGCATTTGGCGGTCGGCCATGATCCATACTCCTCCTGCAGCTGATCCTACGCACTGCTCAGGTCCTAGATCCAAGGCTGGCTGTCTCTAATCAGCTGTAGGTAATACGGGTGCCAATTCTGTGCAATGCAACATCGACAGAAATCGCACCACGACAAACACTCACAACGGCTTGTTTACCTGAAGGTATCTTTGAAACTGACAGGATCAGCCCCCAGCTGAACAGAACTGGTTTTTTCACTGCTACGTTCTTTCTATGTATTCGCGTCGTCGTGATCGCTTCCTTGTCGCTCTCACATCCTTCTGGATATGTTCGTATCGTCTACTCTTTCGACTTTTCCCTTCCAGTAGATCCTAACATCTCTAACTTTTTCCCAGAGTAAGGTGCGGCTTCTAATACGCCCCCTCGCTTTGAACAATCTCTCTTCGGTCGGTCCAATCATTATATTAGCTTCTAGAGTTTTGCATAAGTCAGTAGCTTCGTCAGTAAGTCAGAATGGTTACCCTCTGTCTTGGCCTTCTACAAGCCTACACTTCTTTTCGCTACTTCGTACCTGACATAGTATCAGCGTAGATCGATGTGTCTTGTCCTTCGGCTGTAGGTTGGGTTTGTTGTTGCCATGGCATTGACATCCACTTAAGTAATCTCAACACGAATAGTAAGCTCACTCTTATAGAAGACTTGTACCATCATATTTCTCAGAACATTCTTTCCATGCACGCCTCACATGCCGCAACATGTTCTACCTCCACTGTCGACTAGGCTGCAATGCTCAGTCTCCAAGAAGCCCATGAATCCGCACCATCAGCTAGGCAGTGTACGAAACCGGTGAGATTTTGCACGTGTCCAAATCGTTGCTCTAGTATAAATCGCAGTAGCCATCCATCTATTTCCGGCTCTCGACTCATCATCTTGTGTCGAGAATACAAAAGGCCTTTACTTTTTGTGCCAATGAAAAAGTAGCACCCGTTTATCAGCACCAATATGTTTTTGCGTCGGGTTTTGTACATAGCGACTTATCTGTCCAGCGCAATATGCAAAGTCAAGTCTGGTACATGTGATCATGTACATGAGTGAACCAATTGACTCGCGATACGAATTTCGTGCCACTTGCAGGGGCTTGCTTTCGTCGATACTTGTCTGTTCTATATACCGACAATTCGCATGTTCGTCTCCATTGGTATCGAGCTCAGGTGTGCATCTTTAAATTGATGTTGTTTAAGTGGTATTTCACATTATCTCATCTGGTGGATCTTGGTTAAGGTATTCGATTGACCCTCCTTACAAACACCCAAATTTGAGCTTATTTGAACTTAATTCCCGAAGTACGTACTTTTTCTTTCAAGCTGCTTAAACATTTTTTTTAGCTCGGCTTCATTGGTGACACAAAAGATGTCGTCCACGGGAATAATGCCTTAGCAAATGCATCAGTGCAGAAATAGAAGTCGAAGCGTGAACGGTCTCACACTGGGAAAATGTCAATTCAGCAAACTAACGATCTACTTCAATACATTTTACTCACGTACCGTAACCGTACAAGGTCTGTCAATACTGTAAATGTGTCCTTCTTAAGTACGAGGATAATTTTCGATCCCTTGCAGATACTGTACTGCTTTATGTTCAGCTCCGCGCTGAGGTGGGCAGTATATATATCACCTTAAAAGATCGTGAAGTTTATTTGCACAGAAACGGCAACAAACAATTTTAACGTGGTCATGCGTCCTACAGGCGAGAAGTTCTTTTAAAATCGTTATATACTTGCTGTTTATCGCCTCGTGCGACAATTCGGGTCCGATTTCTTACTAAACATCCCTATTGGTCCGTCTTGACATCATAGACCCACGTGGTCATGATATATGGGTGTCCTCTTGACATGTTCGATTGTGGAATTTACCTGAGAACTTCTTCGACATGTAGTACAGACATTTCCGCATCCATGGCCTCACGCTACGCTGTTGCTTGTTTTAAATGTGTCGCTTTTTATTTGGCGATTGTTTGTAAGGATCTTAATATCCTTTACGTACATCTTGCTATCCTATTTGATATACATGCATTACGCAAAATGCAGATTGCATCTTGAAGTCTTCAGCTGTCAAATCCACACTGCTCTTGCATATTATCGAAACGACTACGATATAAACGGGATGCTTCAAGTCGCTTCATGACCATTTTAGCACGCTTTCTTCCATGAGTTTTCCGGACTTCAATATCATGTGACGTCGGTGCCTGATCAGTTAAATTGAGGGAATTGCCAATCGTCGGTATGCTACCGGAGACACTATGAGTTCGATCGCATCACTTAGATCGAACAGACAGTCATTATACTCTTATACATTATCTCCTCTTTTAAGTTCAACGTCGTGTATCTCGACTAGATCAGTGATGTGGCCTCTGGACTCTCAGTATCCTTCTCAGTCTCATACTGTTAACCTGCTGACTCACTTTTGCAGTCACTCTAATCATCATGTTCACTGACGATGTCATCAGTATCAGAAAGCTCGGTCGTATTAAACTTTAAAAACTTCGAGATAGAACCAAATAAACTGTATTTTGTACCAGATTTGACAGCCGTTCTTAACCTATCCCGATCAAGTGCCCGCATGAAATTGTTATGCAGTATCCCAACCCACATTTTTGATCTTCTCCACCAATTCATTTTGTGAGTTATCTACTGTTTGGAAGTCACGTAGAGTTGGGCAGTAAGACGACGTTTCCCTTCTCCTTCTGCTCTGTCTTGATCAGTGCTTAGAATTAGCTCGTCCAGATCTCCAGGTAGACAAAAATCTGCTGTTGATACGTTAATTTTCCGCATTTCATCCTGTTGTGGTGGGGTATTGCCATCACTGTCAATGTCGCTTAATCCACACGGCTCCGTAGTGCTGTCACACTCAGCTCGCTGTGATATCATATTGATATCTTTAGCTCCACACAGATCTGCAACTGCGCTAATATCGGCTTTATGTAAAAATCAATGATGTTCGTCCACAGCATTCACATCACTGCTACTAACAACTATTTCGTTCGCCTCGATGGATTCGCCGAACGACCGCAGCCATTTTAACTTTCGATGCGTGCTTAAGCTCATATCGATCTTTTACGTAATGCACATATTGATTTTTACGTCTGAAGCAAAATCCTTCTTGTGTTTAGTCGGAAAATACACATGACATTCCACAACGTCTTCGCGGAATCCTAGCAGGAATTTAAACATATGCAGATCCTAATTAACTTTTCCCTTTTAAATACTGGAACACGGAAACGGCAAAAATAATCAAATGCTCGCACATGATGTACGTCTGATTTACAGCCGAACATACATTCGTACGGTGTAAAACCTGCATCTTTTACGGCATACATGATTAGTAATGCATGCCATATTTGTCATTGCGTATACCCAAAAAGGCCTTGGTAGTCCATACTGAGTCATCATTTTTTTGACAATTCCAATCAACATTTGGTGTGTCAGCTCTACTAATCTGAGCTGCGAAGCGTGTGGTCCTTCTTTGGTGTGAACAATGCCATAAGTAGTATACCATGTCTCTATAGGGCATTCCGCGCTTGAAGTAGCGACATTGCTGAACCTCCGGAATTTCTTCAGCATTCTGTGGCAGCTCAGCAAACAACCGAATGTTTTCTCTGAGTCGCTGCGAGAATTTGAGCACAGTCTCATCTCGTCGTTTCACCATTGTCCACAGTTCGTTGTCCAAGTCTTCACTGTAGTCGTGCGGGACAGATAGTAATCCCACATCCGTAAAGAACTGTTCAAAAGTCCTTCCGTGCTCAACTGCGTCTTGAGCTATCACTTCGACTTCCGTTGCAAGGTCGCCGTCAATAAGCGCGACCATGTTGTGTGCCTTCTGCTCATCGGTCCACTGCTTCTTTCGGGCGAGGCGACGAAATTGGTTGCTCCAGCGAAGCCACTCACGTGGGGATCCTCCTGCGAACTTCTTGATCTTGATCGTTGCCGTATCTGCGGGGAAGCCGTCACTTGCGGGTGTTATCACCATGGTGTAGATAATGTAGATAATTCTTGAAATTTTTCTGTCATAACCTGTCTCATTAATTGTCTTGGTTAGGCATCGTGAAGACGTTCTGCCTAGCAGATGTAATTCATCAAGTGACCAAATACTTCACCTTCAGTCTTTGATACGAAGAGATACGTCCTGACGTAGCGCGAGAGTCCATCCATCCTTACCAAAACTGCGGAGTACGGTGATCCATTATGGACCCCTGGGAAGAGTGTAAAAAAATATCACCTCGTTGACTAGCTTTTTGCACTTTATGTCGATAGCTTTGCGAACCGTCTTCCGTCTTTTCTTCTTGAAGTGGCGATCAATGCACTCGATTTAATGCGTTGCTCAAGCATATATTTTTTTGCCAGCTCTCGATCAACCGATATCTTATTGTGCTCCGGTCATATATGCCCAAGACGCTTGTGCCAGACGCCGGTGTCTGCAACACCATCCGTAACGAAATTTTTTGCAAAGTCTTTTTTTTCGTTTCCACATGGTTCTTGGTTTTGGTTCTACTTCCTATAATGTTAGTCTTTAAAGTTCCAGAGATGACTAACATACTGCGTTCAGGTGACGTCCGATCAATCCTTTTGCAGCCCAAATGAATTTGTCCGGTTATCCTAATCCATTTAGAAACCTTGATCATTTGGTAATTCAGGCGGAAAGATATTACATCCTGATTTTGGCACATTTGGCACATCTTCGACAATGAAGTAGAACATACGATCAATGAGCTTGATATCGAAAAAAAAGTGACAAATCCTTCTGCTTCAGCGACAACATCAGCCTCGAACCCTAAAACCCTCGAATTCCGTTTGCTGTCGGTCATGTTTTATAACGTCGTAAAATAGTATTTACACGCTGTTGTATGGACATTCGATCCTGAGTCAAAATACTAAAGACTAGGTTCATCAGTCTTTGTCAAGCAGTTTGAGCTTGATAACTTCATCAATTTTCGATTCACGCTTTGTACCATACTAATTATGGACAAGCTCATGCTCGTGAGATAGCTCTGCCTTCATAATTTTTCGGGTACGTGGGCCGAGCATGGATGGGATTTGCCATTCTCTTTCCTTCCAAATTGGGACAATCGCGTGTATAATATTTTCCACCACAATATAAACAGCCACTATTTCCACTCTATGTGCTCATCTTATTATCTTTTTTGACCCTACCACTTATGCCGTGTGAAAAATATCCCCTCTTGTACTGTCTCATGAGAAAGACACTTTCTTCCCAGTCTTCATTTCTTGCTTCTGCGGTGATAATATTTCGCAAATAAACTCCAGCGTAGACTTTGCCATATTTGAGCTAAAAGCAACACATTTCGGCGTAGCGCATCGCAACACATATCCGGAGGTAGGCGTCGTTACATGCGATTCACCATTTTTAAGTCTTTCACTGGATCACCCACATCGCCGGTTGAGTCCTGATTGCAAATAGTGTGTGCAAGTGACCGCAGACATTCCCCTGTCCTCGCAGATTAGTTCGGTGTAATTTGGCCAGCAGCCTGTACACCTTTTGTGCAGTCATTTCAGGATTCGACTTGCCCTCACATATTGACACGAGTTCTCCCCACATCTCCATGCCGGATCTTTACATCATCACTTGCTTGGCCATCTTCATAGAGAGCGAACCTTGAATTAAAAAAATCATCTTAGCCCGCTTCTTCTTTTAGCTCCTTTAAATTCGTCATTCCGGCTGCTATCGGCTGATAGCAATTTATCCAGAATTTTTTAATGCCTTTATTATAGCGTCCTTGTAGAAAACCCAATCTTCTCCATTTTAATAATATGCATACATTAGCAGGTTCATTATTTATGTTTATAGCCATTATTCATATACTTTTACCTGTTGGTGCTACAGATTATCATATATTATATTGTAGTAATTTTAATTTTTTAAATGAAAAAAATTAATTGTAGGCTTTTTTTTTGACATTTGCTGTGAAAGTTCCTATCTTACCATTTCATATATGGTTACCTGAAGCACATGTAGAAGCTCCTAGGCTAATACTCTACCAATTAAGTTACGGTTGTTTATACTTACAACTAATAATGTTTATAAGAATTTACATTAAAAATTACCTTTAATTAATTTCTTGAAAGTTGTTTATAAATCTTTTGTTTATATGTTTTTTTGTTCTTTTTTGTTAATGTTACAGCACCTATTAAAGCAATTAATACGATAATACCTGACACTAAAAAATAAATAAATATATAAAACTTGACCTATTGTTTCAATATTTTTTAAGGAGCACTGTAAAAGCCAGTTTTGTTGTCCATCTTCGTTGCTGCTAGGACCCGAAGACTGCATGCTTGATCTTGTGTGCCGTTATGGTCGAGCAGCACCGCGTAGTCTGTCTGTCTTTGGGCTTATAACCCTTACAGAAATCGCACTACAACAAACACTCGCAAACCACATATTTATATTTAGGTAGCTTTGGATCTGAAGGTACCAGTACTCAGCTAGACAGACCTGGTTCTTGCTCTGCTACGTAAATTCTATATACATACGCCTCTTCGTGCTAGAGTTCATGTCGCGATCACTTTTTCCGGAAATTTTCGTCCTGTCGCTTTATTCTACATTCCTACTCCAGCAGTTTCTAACTTCTTCAATTGCCCCCAGAGTAAGGTGGGAGTCCCGATACGAATGGTACGTTTCCGCACAAATTACCTACATAATGAGCACAGGGATGACCCAGTGTTGCGCGGATTGCACCGCAGCATCTCCATAAAGGTTAATCGGTATTCGCGCTGCGAACTATCAAGTCACGCTGACCGCTGTGCGTGGTTTCACGTCCTGAGCTACCTGTACACCTCGCTCTACTCTCATGTTTTTCCTGGTACTCATTAAATTCATTGTCAATTTCCTCCTTGAATTCTAAATCACCCACCCGTTGTGGCCAACAAACACGTCACCGAGGTTTTTTTCTATGGAATATACGCCTACCTAAATGTATTGTCTAGCTTCACTTTCTTATATGCACTCATTGTCACTTGGCTATCGTGAGACTGGTTCTGGTGGAAACACAATGATCAGCCGAGCTTGTCATCCAAGTTTAAAATGGAATGTCAAAGAGATCGATAGTTTTCTTTTAGCAAATCATTACCGAAAATGATGTGGAAATGGCTCAACGTTTGGATTACATACCCGAGGTCGGCTACGTAATTCCCATGTGCAAGTCACAGAAAATAAGTAGTTTTGGGAAATAAAAACGAATCAGTCGCTCCCTTTTTAATTAATTCCCACCCTTTACATCGATGTTACGACCAGGAAAGCTCTCTGATGTTTGCATACAAGAGCACGTGGTATTGTGGTGTGGTACGCCTGTAATCATTCAAGCAGAAATTATGATGTGATAAAAATTGTACAACGTATGGCGGAAATAACAATTCCATGTTCCAAAGCAGCATTTTAAAAACCGATTCGGGGAAATGAATGGTCATCCTCCTGGACAACTATTTATTTGTAGGTAAACACATTTATTGATTACAATGTGGAGGCTTGTCAACTGCTTTTCCAGAGTTGATCTACCGGACAAGATGTTCCTGATTACCACAATTTATGAGAGTTTTTTAATGTTCAATCACAAAATTTCCCATTACTAGCGCACTTTCACATCGCGAATGGAGGGTGACAATCTGGCTATAAATAATGGTATTCTGTGTACACAGCAAATTTAATAGATAGCGCTTACTTTCCAACTCAATCATAAGTCAAATTACCACACCCGCTTACGCCCACCCAGATTCTTTTGCCCAGTGTGACCAGGAAAATTAATTACAGTGTTCGTATTTTTTATTCATGCAGTACAGTAAGCCTTATTAACCACAATCCGTTAAAGCAATTATAATTATGGTGCTATATAATTTTTAGCTTGCAAGGTTGCGCCCACCCATGTACACTCACCAATTGTCGATCGCACTCATGATGATAAAACCATGAGCGCGAGAAAGTTTGAGTAATTGCTCCCAATTAAAATTCTGGTGCACAGATAGGAAATATACACTACTAATCACTGCTTTGTGACGCTTAAAGTGTATTTGATCATGGTTTATATCTTCTTAGGCGACCCCCTGATATTATATACATCCAAGAAGCGGGCATATGACGGGATTTTGACCTTTTAAGTCTGTAACATTATAGAGAACGTGCAATGGGAGCTATGGAGCTTGGAGTTATGTTAGCTGCTTGTGTAATAAAGGTCTTGATAAGCGCCCTACGGGTTGTACGGGGTGTACACACGAATAATCTGGCAATGAATCCGAGTAGAGACTGCCAAGGTCAATGCAAGATCCCCATATGTCTAAACTTTTCAGTTGTGCGACAAATAAATGTTTGCAATGCAAAACTGATCAAGGTTTATCTACTTTTAGAATGAGCCGCTGGGAATGGAAGTGTTTAAACCAGCTTGGTGGCTAATGTAACTGGGCGCTCATGTTTGTGCCTGTCTCGATATCTAATTTTATACAGGTGAATCTTCTTTGATACCCAAGAGACTTCGTTTTCTGGACGTTTTTGTCAGTGCTCTAGATAGCGCGAGCAATACACATAAATAAGAAGACAATTGTACAAGTGCATGAGAGACTATCACGGGGCGACCCATACGATTTAATCAGTTGCATTATCGTTGTTTCGGTTCTTTTTTGGAATTGAGACCGTGGTAGCAGCCTTAATTGTAACTCATGAATCGAAGATGAGGACGTTGCGAAATCGAAGGTCACTGTACAATAATGGAAATTTTAATCGCTTTAAACCCTCAAGGACTCGGAAAGAACTTTGAATCAAAATAATGTAACTTAAATACTAAATTGGAGACTATTGACGTTGTAGACGCTATCTCTGTTGTATTAATGTAAAATTATATTAATGGCACGCTTGTGCAGTCTCCTATGCTTTTTAAAACGACCTAGCAGCTTGATTATTGTAAAGTTACATTTTGCTTGTCGCGATGCTTGATATATATGTGGTACTAGGAGCACCTGGTTGGT